AACAGTAGCACCTATCACAGATTAAAAAGTTGAAAAGACAAAGTCTGATACTTCATAGGTGCTAAATAAGTCAATCAGGTTTTCTTTTCTTGTGTCCTTCCTCCTTTTTACATTTTCTTTCAAACAGAGACACTGTGTTCTCATTCTTTTAGTTGTTTTTGTCTGTACTGAGGCTTGAACTCAGGGCTTCAGACTCGCTTGGCTTTTTGCGTTGAAGTCTGGTGCTATACTCTTAAGTCACAGCTCCACTTCTGAGTTTTTGCTAGTTAATTAGAGATAAGTGTCTCAGGGATTTTTCTGCCTAGTTTTTAATCTTAATCTTCAGATCTCAGCCTCCTGAGTAGTGAGGATTACAGTCATGAGCCACCAGTGCCTGGTTTATATTCCCAATCCCAGTATACTCCTAGGTTAATAATATGCATGCAACAAATATTCAAGAAAAATCTGAGTGAACTTCAAACCTGACGTTTAACTTTCAGAAAAATTGAGGGCTTTTCCTCCTCCTTTAATTTTTGGTGTGGTTGGATGTGCAGGGAAGAAGGAGGGGAAATTCCTTGTATTTTATACAAATAGTATTGCTGAAAACTGAAAAAGAAGCCAAAGTACTATGCATAGTCTGTTTTCCTTTTTCTAGTGATGTATAAAATCACATTTTAAAACCAAATAGAAGTACTTATTTGTGGAAGACATTAAGATCTGAGAACTTAAGCTTCAGGGAAGTAAAGAGGCTTGCCCAGGTCACCTAGCAAGAAAATAACTATGATTCCAGCTCTGTATCATGTCCACAATTAATACACTACTTGAGAATTGAGCATACTTGAACACAACTGAGAATGGCCCCTAAGAGAGCAATTCTTTGTAAATCAAGGTGATAAGCACATTTTGATGAGTTTTCTAAAGACTTCTCGAAAAGAAATCAGCTAAGAGAAATCCAACCCCCAACTTAGAAAAAGATGGTGGTAAGCAGCCTTTCTTAATAACCATGCCCTTCTCTCATGGCCTTCCTTGGCTCTGGCTTCCTCTCTGAATTCCAGCTTATAACTAAATGGGTTGCAAGTGTCTCTGCCAGGGAAAGAGGTCCTGATGGGCATATCAAAGAGGTCTTCACCTGCCCCTTGGATCAACTGAGTGAAAACTGCGGTGCACTGGGAGTCATCTGAACTGCCTGGGAACAGGAACAAGACATGGAGGCTAGTGGAGAGACCATATTCCAGGTCTGTGGTAAAAGATTGGGAAACTCTGTCTTGATTTTCCTGCAGTGGAAAAGTAAGAGTGTTGTGGTTGTTACTCCATGGAGGAATGTCTTTGTGGCTCTTGGAGAAAGAATCAGATTTAGCTGTATCTTGCTTGAATACCTAGGCCCTCAAAGTTGCATCTCTAAGAACTGGCATAAAAGTAGCTCTCAAAAATTGCTCAATGACAGTTTAGGCAGGAAAATCTGTGAGACTGTCCTCTCCAACTAGCCATCAAAGAAGTGGAAATGGAGTTGTGTCTCAAGTGGTAGAGCACCAGCCTATTGTACTTTAGCAAAAAAAATTAAAGGACAATATTGAGGCACTGAAATCAGGCACTGAGTTCAAGCCCCAGGATTGGCACAACAAAGTTCAGTGAATAAAAGAATGCTCATCACCACTAATATTGTATGTATATAAATCTTCCTGTGTTTAAAATACATTACCATCCACATGAATTTTACAAAGATCTTGAAAGATGAAGGCACATTCCCAAAGTTATAGTAGCAGCACTAATTCTCAGGGTTTCTGACTCCATTATATCTTAGTTTGTTCCTCCTGTTATAAAAAAATATATGAGACTGGGTAATTTATTTTTTTCAGAGGCTGAAAAAGTCTAAGGCAACAGCAGATTCACTATGTAATGAGGCTGCTCTCTGCTTCCAGGATAGCATTTCTTTTCTTTTCCCCTTCCCTCACTCTCTCCCACTTTTTCCCTTCCATCCCCACCCACAAGTTGTATAGTACATTTTCAACATAATGTTTAGTGAATACCACTGCTGCATTACCTTCCTTCCTTCCTTCTTTCCTTCTTTTTCTTTTCTTCCTTTCTTCCTTCATGTCTTTCTCTCATTCTTTCTTTCTTTGTGTGTGTGTGTCAATACTGTGGCTTGAACTCATGGCCTTCTGCTCTTTCTTACCTTTTTTTGTTCACAGCTGATGCTCTATCACTTGAGCCATACCTTTACTTCCAGTTTTTTGCTGATTAATTGCAGATAAGAAGCTCAGGGACTTTTCTGTCCAGTTGGGCTAATTCCAATCTCTAATTCCAATTCACTAATCTCAGTCCTTGATTAGAGTGAGGCTTCCATTGCTCAAGCAACTCTTAAAAACTCTATCTGTATACTATTGTATTTATTGTTCAGTTTCACTGTGTATTTTGGAAGAGACACAAAAATTCAAACCCCACTTGCACCTCTTAACATGTCTTATGGATTGTAACACCTACACCTATCTATGTGTACCACTTTTACTAGATATTTTTGGAAAGATCATTTTTTTCTTTTACATTAGCATATGTTAATTTCAGAAAGGGGTTTCATTGTGATATTTCTACATATGCATATAATATACTTAGATAAATTTTATCTTCTTTATCATGCTTCTCTCTAACAATCTTAATTTTTCATTTTTTGATTCAATTACTCTAATTATATATATATATATATATATATATATATATATGAAGTTCTTTGATCATATAAATTTTTGAACAAAATGTCCTTTTGTCCTCCTGCTGGCTCCCATTCCCAGTCCCCTGTTTTGCATCCATGCCATTCTTATTTATTTAAGTCTACATTCAGCACATGGATTTGTGACATTTGTTCTAGTCCAGCTTATTTTACTTGGATATTATTTTCTACTTGTGAGGGTTATTAAATGTTGCAGTGGTATCCAAAGATGTCAGAGAACAAGGTTCTGATTGTGGCTCACACCTATAATCTGAGCTACTCATTAGGCTAAGATCTGAAGATCATAAGGCTGTGATCTGAAGATCACAGTTGGAAGCCAGCTCCAGCACATAAATCCTCAGGGATCTTATCTCCAGTTAACCAGTAAAAAGATACAAGTGGAGTTGTGGCTCAAGTGGTGGAACACCAGCCTTGAGCAAAAAAGCCAAATGAGAGCTGGAGGCTCTGAGTTCAAGCCCTAGTACTGGCAAAAAAAGGAGGTGGGGGAAAGAGAAGAAATAAGAATCATGTGAATTTTGTCAAATTTTAGGGCTCTCAGTGGTCTCAGGGAACTGTAGCTTGAAAAAGATATGGCCCCATGATTGCTTCCAGACTAAGCATTACAGTCTCTGAAAGGTATGAAATCAAGTGGATTTAGAATGTTAAGGGTCTTTGGACCCCTTAGGTAGACCTTCAGAGCAATAAGGAACCACAGGTAATCAGACTTGTAATTCCTTACCCTTATAAACCAATAATTTATCGATAAGAATAAACAGCTGACTTTCTAGCTGGGTGCCTGTAATTCTAGTTATACAGGAGGCTGAGATCTGAGCATTGTGGTTTGAAGCCAGACCAAGAAGGATACATTGAGAGTCTCTTATCTCCAATTAACCAGAAAAATGCTAGAAGTGAGGTATGGCTCAAGTGACAGAGCGCCAGCCTTGAGCAAAAAAAGCTAAGGGAGAACATCCAAGTCCTGATTTCAAATCCTAGTGCCAACACACACATACAAAGCTGACTTTCTCATCATTCTAACTCCATCAGAGTTGTTAGCAGGAAGCTAACAAGATCTTTTCTCTTTTGTATTGAGAAAGCTCACCTAATAAATTAATCTCTTTTCTTAAAGCAAGTGCCTATCCTTACACCTTTGCAGGAGCAATGATTTGAACTATTTAGAGACAAAGATGTTAGGAGCCTCCTTAAAGCAGGAGCACTGGCAAATGGAGCTTGGCAGGTGAAGAAATAAAGGAAATGTGGGTTAGTTGGTCTGATTCATGTGATGCTCCTCTGTAAGCTGAGCAGGTCCAACCTCCTCCAAATGTATGATGCTCTGTGTCTGTCTCAATACTCAGCTTGATGGGCTAGGAAGACAGAGACAACTTGGTGGTAGCTTATTCCACCTGAACCATCAGGAACAGGACAATAGTTAGTCTCCAGAGGATTGGTCTCTTCCAGAGATAGAGCTTTGATTTAGTTCAGAGGTAGAGAAAGGGGTAGAAAAAATGCCAGCTTTGGGTCCCAGGCACTCCATTTTGGAGTTTCTAGCAGATGCCCAGTGTGTGTGTGTGTGTGTGTGTGTGTGTGTGTGTGTGTGTGTGTGTGTGTGTGTGTTGGTCTTGGGGCTTGAACTCAAAGTCTGGACACTATCTTTGAGCTTGTTTTGTTCAAGGCTACAGCTCTACCACTTGAGCCACAACTGCACTTAGGGCTTTTTGTTGTTGTTGCTGTTAATTGGGGATAGGACTTTCCTGGGACTTGGCTGCCCAGGGTGAATTTAAACTGAAACATTCAGATCTTAGCCTTCTGATTAGCTAGTATTACAGGCATGAGCGGCCTGAGCCTGGCCAGATGCCCACTTTTTGTAAATTCCCTCCAGCCTGATAAGCAGTTAAGGTCCTTTTTTGTGCCAGGCACCTGTTCGAGGCAGTGGGGACTTAATGGAGAATTCGCACAAGGCTCCAGTTATTTATGTGTATCCAGTTGTGATGCACCTCTGCAGAGGCTAGATCTGTGTGATTGCTTCTTTCTTGAATCTCAATTTCTCTCGCAGCTTCCTAATTAATTCCAAGCAAATTCCCAGAAGCACAGGACTGGAATAAGCCAGTTTCCTTACGCCCCCTTCATCGCCCTCCCCCCACCGCGGCTTCCTGGCTAGCTGCGGTGCGGCCGACCGTGGTAGGCGGAGGCGGCTGGGACGCCGTGACCTGATTTCATTCGCCGAGCTTTTCGGTTCGCGGGAGCACAAGCCCACGTGACCACATTTTCCTAAATAAAGTTGAACAGTTCTAGGCTGCACTCAGTTGCTGAGGGAGAAGATATCATCAGTGAGCTTCTCGCTGCAGTAGTCCCCACCTGGCATCTCGCCCCCTGCACAGCCCTGAATCGTAGGAACAGCGGCATCACTCAGAGATCAGCTCCGTGAACCGCCCAGGTAGGGGTGGGGTGGGGGAGTCGCGCTCACACTCCGTGCACTGCACCCTCATCGTTGGATGGATCAGTGGAAGAAAGGGTGGGTGGGTGGCTGCTAGGGCTTAGGCACTAGTGAATAGAGCTGGGCTGGGGGAAATGGAAGTGTCAAATGAAAGAAAGGGTCCACGTGTGAGCAAGCACTTGTAAGGACGGGCGCGGCTCGTGTTCCTGGGTCCTGCTGAGTGCAGGAGGCTTTGAGGAAGGCGGCACGGACCCCAAATGGGAAAAGTGTGGAACCTGAGAGCCTGGGGTTCCTCCCTCACCCCGCCTCAACCTTGCGGTGTAACCTTGAGCAGAGAGTTATTTAATCTCTCCCTACCTGACTTTCTCCATATGCAAAAACTGATTTGGGACTCCCGCCATTCTAGCTAGTAACGTATCTGGCGCGGGGGGGGGGAGGGGGGTTTGGAAGAGACAATGGCGGAGAGCTTGGTGCACCTGGGCTGAGGGCTGTGGACTTCAGGCACAAGAATAGAGTCCTCAAGTGAAGGGCGGAGGCTGCCTCAAGAGGACGTGTACGATCTGTGGAGGCTGAGTTGCAGGGCTCATTCCGGAGGCGTGCACCCCTAAGCACCTGTGCGCAGATTCGGCTGTGGCTTTGGACACAGCTGGGGCCTCAAGGCATTCTGAGACCGTTGCATTCTTCCAATTTAGACTAGCGTCCGATACAAATTCCTATGCCCTACCGGTGGCAATGCGACCCCGACTCATAATATATGGCTCCCTAGATCGCCGGGTTCTTCTGAGGGCGCCCCCTCCCACAAGATGCGCCTGCTCTGGATCACTGCGGGAAAAGGAGGGGGCATGGAAGAGCAGGAAGAAGGGACAGGGAAGACTGATGTGTGTATGTGGTGTGTGTATGTGTGTGTGTTTGTTGGGGATAAGGTTGTTTACAACAGGGGCTTCATTCCTAGGGATTTACCACATGCCTTGGATGAGAACTGAAATATTAAACCTGCATTCTTAGTTCAAACAAGCCCCCTCTACCCCGATGCTGTTGTTGGGGAAGAGCTTGTGGAAGCTGAGAGACCACACCCTGGATGGAAAGGGATGGGCAAACAGGTCACTAAACCTCCTGGGGATCAATAGTGACTGTCCATCTAGCCTAGTCTTGCAAGTGCTTTGGACCAAGAAGTGGGGGAGGGGACACACATACTCAGGCAGAAGATGGCCCCTAATCACTAACTCTCTGTTCTGAGCTGGCAGCTCTTTCTGACCGCAGTGACAGTTGCACTACTTGAATGGCTAAGAAGATGAAAACCTTAAGAGAGAAAAGTCCCTCAGCCTCAGCTTTCTGCATTAGGATGTAGGTACCACCAGGGAAGGATACCTACCTGTCTACACTTTCTAGCATTGCATTTTGAATTGCCATCGCCCTTTGAGGAGTAATTTCTCTCACAATATCCAAGACATCCAATTCTCATCAACAAGTTTTTTTTTTAATTTTAATTTATTTTTTGGTGCAGGTAGTATGGCTTGGACTCAGGCCTTGCACTCTCATTTGCTCTAGCAACTTGAGCCACACCTCCACTTCTGGCTTCCTGCTGGTTAAGAGATAACAGTCTCACAGACTTTTCTGCCCAACCTACCTTCAAACTATGATTCTCAGATCTCAGCCTCCTGAGTGGCTAGGATTACAGGCAGGAACCACTGGTGCCCAGCTAACAAATCACTATTAATGACCTCAATCCTTTTTTTTTTTTGCCGGTCATGGTCCTGAACTCTGGGCCTGGGCACTGTCCCACAGCTCTTCAGCTCAAGGCTACCGCCCTACCACTTGAGCCACAGCACCACTTCTGGCTTTTTCTGTTTATGTGGTGCTGAGGAATCGAACCCAGGGCTTCATGCCTGCAAGGCAAACACTCTACCACTAAGCCACCTTCCCAGCCCAACCCCAATCCTTACAGGAGGTGACATGAGATTTATAGAAGTAAAACCCTCTCTGTGAGGTGGGGTGGTGGAGTCGGATACATGTGTAACGCTAATATATACAAACAGAGATGGAGCCACTTACTCTCCCTAGGCAACTTTCACTATATCTGTGTAAATTGAAGATTAAATTTTGAAAAGCTGTATGGCTCAGTGATCATAAGAGACAAATATACACAATTGTGAACTAATAGTTCATGATACAGTCAGAAGATAATTAACTGCTAAATTATTTTGTGGAGTTAAAACTGTCACCTATCACTTCTTACTCCCTCTCACTTAATAGATTGCTTTTTCACTTGATTTCTCCTTCCTCAAGACAGATTAAAATGGAAATGAATGCATAGCAGCCAATAATCCAGGTCAGAGGAGAAAAGTAATCTATTAAATCAATTTCTCTAGACACAAGCAGGAAATAGCTCTATAGATTGTCCTTGGAAAATAAAGAAGCAACAATAATCTTAAATGTGTGGTTTTTCATAGATTATCCCAAACCATGTCCCTGCAATACAACCTTTCTAATGACTCCAAGTGGAAAGGGGCATGGAAGTAAATAGTGTTCCCTAAAAACTTAATGCTTTAATGTTTGGCTGCATTGAGGATAGTGGTGGTTTTATTTGGATGTTAATAACTTCTTCTTTTGAAAAATCTTTTTAGATTCAAGCTAGGTAGAAGACATTTGATATTCCCATCTTTGCTAAAATAAAATTCACACACACACATACACAGACAGGATAACAACTATTGTTATGAACATATACAACAGAGAAAAGGTTAGGCCATCTGAATTACTATTCCTGGACTGCTGCCTTTTTTTTAGTCCACAGCAGAAAATCCATTAACAGTATGAGAGATACTTTTCTTGGGGGAGGGGAATATAGAATAGAGGAGAAATTGAAAACCAGAAATTGATGACCAGACCAGATCCTCAGACACAGTAGTAAGTGACCAATTTCTCTCTCTTCCTTTCTTTCCTTCCTTCCTTCTTTCTTTCTTTCTTTCTTTCTTTCTTTCTTTCTTTCTTTCTTTCTTTCTTTCTTTCTTTCTTTCTGAGTTCCTGGAAGATGATGCTGGTAAAGACAAAATAAACTTGAACATGTCATATTGATGCTAATGGACTCCAGCCTTTCACAATGGTACTCGAAGTAGGGTACTACAGCCAAGAGGTTCAGATCCTCACCTGCCTTGGTAGCTGAATCACTCTAGACTGCATGAGGGTGGGCACACACAGGTACTTAAGTTTGATGAAATTTTGTTGAATTGACTTGAGTACAAAGGAAGAGTGCCTGGAATTGACATAGAAATAATTCCATCTGGGGTTTGTCTTCTTGAATTTTACCTTGAGCTTTATCTAGATAGTATGTGGACATAATGAAATCACTAGTTGCTTTATCTAAACTTTCATTTTAAGTTTACTTATAAACACATCTATACTTATACTGAGGGATTTAATGGAGGTAAGAGAAGGAACTCTAGATTGATTATCCTTTTGTGGCCTACTCAAGTATATTAATAAGTATACATTTATTATATGTATGTTAATCATAAGCTTGGAGGGTCAAGAGGGGAAGGGTAGAGGATGGCTATAGGAATAGTTGTAAAGGTTATAAAGATTTGTTATTGAAGAATCTTTGCTGCTGAGTGCTGGTAATTCACATAGTAATCCTCAGTAGGCTGAGATCTGTGGATCACGGTCCAAAGCCAGGTTAAGCAAGAAAGTCCATGAGACTCTTATCCTCTTATCTCCAATTAACCAATATTTTAAAAAGCTAGAAGTGGAGATGTGGCTCAAGTGGTATAACAACAGCCTTGAGTGAAGAAACTAAAGGACAGTGTCCAAGACCCTAGTACTGGCACTAATAATAATAATAATAATGAACCTTTGCCAAAGAATATCTCTTGCTCTGGTTGTGAAGGTATTCCACATCCTCCTTGACCCATTCTAAATCCTTAACCTATGACTACCTAGCTGCCAAATGATAATCACTTTGAAAATACCAAATATGCCTCATATATTCCTAGCTGGACCCTGAGCTTTAAAAAATAAAACTAAGAGTGTTTTATGAAATGGTTCAAAGCCTCTTTCAATTCTGGCAGGATTCTATGATTTGATGAAAATATAAGGTGTATCTCCAAAATACACAGACCTTTGATGAAAATCTCTTAGATTCTTAGACTCTTAGATCTTATATATCTCCAAACTACACAGATCCTTTTAGTGCAGCCAGATAACAAAGGCCTGGAAGAGGGTTGATATTCTTTAAAACTATCTGGTTTGGAGAGAAGCAATATGTGGAGTTCTACTACTTTCCACCAACTGCCAAGCCAAGGAAAGAAATAGGTGAGACTTCATTTTTGCCCAACTGTCTAGAAACATAAAACGAGGAACTTAACAGGCAGCAGTGGCTCACATCTGTAATCCTGTCTACTCAGGATGCTGAGTGCTGAGGTTTGCAGTTTGACAAGTCTAGGTAATGAAATCCAGAAGTGGAACTGTGTGTGGCTCAAGTGGTAGAGCACCAGTCTTGAGTAAAAAAGCTAAAGGACTGGACCCAAGCCCTAAGTTCAAGCCCCAGTACTGGCATACACACCACATTACCTCCCCAACACACACAACCCCCCCCGCCCCCCCCCACTATCAGACACTTTATGGTAAAATCTGTTGAAATGTAATCAACTGAAATACACACTTCTCTCTCAAAAGCTGAGCTTATCTTTGCATTTTTTCATGTTCAATTTGGGTCTTTTTATCTCCAAACATTTACATAATCATCATAGTGTTCAGATGTGAGTGTAATAAACCCACATTCATTCCTCAAGGGATTGTCAGAAGCTTACTTTTTCAGTTTTGACATCTACAAAAAGTAATGTCACTCAAAAGTGGACATTATTGTGAGCTTAATCTTGGAGTCATTAGTACAAGCATCTTTCTGCCCATTTCTGTGATTGGGAATGCTATGTAAAATTTGGACAGTAGAAATTTGTCTTATTTACTACCTATATAAAGACTTTGACATTTGGATGTTTTTAATTTATATTTTTACCATCTTATGTCACTGCCTAATGGTTTGATTTCTCATGTATTTGCACCCAGATTTTCTACCCTGTCTCTGTTTACCAAAATGTATCATATTTCCTGCCCGGAAACTTCTCTAAAATCCAGCATTTAAACTCTCCTGGAAGTTAACAGATTGCCAGAGCATATGTGCCTCTGATTAGGGAGAAGAGCTAATTTACTTCTTTTAATAATAATAGTATGTCAATTTATAGTAAACAGAAATGCAGTACATCTAGATAGTGCTTAACATCACAGTTAATTAGCAAATACATAGTTCTTTGGTACATGGAAGGCTAGGCTGCAGACTTCCATTAAGAAATTAATTGCAAGGGGCTGGGAAGGTGGCTCAGTGGTAGAGCGCTTGCTTTGCATGCATGAGGCCCTGGGTTCGATTCCTTAGCACCACATAAGCAAAAAGAAAAAAGCCGGAAGTGGCGCTGTGGCTTAAGTGGTAGAGCTCTAGCCTTGACCTGAAGAGCTGAGGGACAGCGCCCAGGCCCAGAGTTCAGGCCCCATGACCGGACCCCCCCCCCAAAAAAGAAATTAATTGCAATTACAGTATATGTAATTATTCCACAGAGGTTACCACTCAGGATGCCCCTAATTTAGATGGTGCTAAAGAGCAGTTTTAGGGTTTGTTGTTAATGAAAACAGTAGTATAGAAGTAAATTTTTTGAAATGTAAAAAATACTTTCTTTTTTTTCTGTCCTTGTTTCAGCATTTTGTTATTCCCCTTCCCCTAGTAAAAAGTATTTTATAGTGTGTGTGTGTGTGTGTGTGTGTGTGTGTGCACACGCGCATGCATGTATGTATGTATGTATTTGTGTGTGTGTGTGCTGGTACTGAGTGCTGTCCCTTAGCTTTTTTACTCACGGCTGGTGCTCTACCACTTAAGCCACATTTTCACATTGGGCTTTTTGTGATTAACTGGAGTAATAGTCTCATGGACTTTACTGTCTGGGTTGGATCCTTAGATCTCAGCCTCCTGAGTAGCTAGAATTATAGGCATGAGCTTCAGGATCTTGGATTGTAAATTATTTTAATAATTTTCCCATTGTTCTAAATTAACTCTAATTTGTTCTTGTACTCAAACTAGACAGTGAAGGAAAATTACTTTAGAAAATATGATGAAAATATAGTGCCATTATATGCCACAAGATACACTGAATTAACATTTCCAATATGTTATACATTGTTTTTCAGATAATTGATCTTTTTAATATTCATTTTCACTTTACTTTTAATTTTTTAATGAAAAATAATACATCTTGCAAAGAGCTACAAATATGATGAAATGGATTAATATGATACTAGTTACATTTGCAAAATTCATGTGTATATTAGAGCAGTTCCACCCACCTGTTGACATTCACTGATTTCTCTCTTCCTCAATGCAGTTGAGTGGTCCACATGGCCTTTACTTTCCATGACCCTACACTTACTTTATTATTATTTTATTATTATTTATTTATTGGCATCATCATCATCATCATCATCATCTTTTTTGTGCCCATTCTGGGGCTTGGACCTGAGTTTTTGTGCTCAAGACTAGTGCTCTACTACTTGAGCCACAGCTCCACTTCTGGCTTTTTTGGTAGTTAATTGGAAAATTTAGCTAGTTCAGATCTTTACTAAATGAAAGCCATTGTGAATCAAATTACTTTTCTAAGTTCCTTACACTATTATATTATATTTCTACAACATTAAAAGTGTTTATTATTAAAACACATAAGGATGTGAGAACTAACACCAAAGAGGAGACATGTCTTTTTTTTCTTATAATGTTACTAATAGTCCTTGCTCCACACACTAAGTTTGGTCTTGTGTGTGTTGCAATCACTCTTGGAACTTTAATAACTTCTGTGTCCAGTGATTAATAGAAGCTTGACTCTATTCGTTTTGAACCCAGCTCCTGTAGCAGCATACTGGAGATTGCCATCATATTCCTGAAGAGAGAATCAATTCTTCATTCAACCATCTTAAAGCCAAGAACGGTGACAGAGTTTTCATTACCTTTTCTTCTTCAATGAGATCACCCTTCAATTTAGGATTCATGCCTGCCTTCTGGACTTCTGAGGACTATAAGAATGTTGATAAAACAAACGCAACCATTCAAGCTGAGGCTGCCCATCTGGAAGCACCTCTCTCCTCCACTGTGGCCCTGATAATAGTGCTCATAATTATTTTCTCATTGGTAATGACCTCCTTTGTGACATACTGTTTCCATAAGTGGAAACTGAGGGGCCGCAAGCTGCAGCGAGCCCAGGAAGAGTATCAGAGAGATCAAGAGAAAAGTATCTTTCATAGCCCTCCGGATCTGATTTCCTAGAAAGGTAGTAAACTGACAATTGAAGGGTGCCATCTGAAATGAAGCAACAAGACAAGAAAGAACCATAAATGAAGTGACATGAAATCAGAAGAAGTTATACATGAAACAACAAAATGTGAAACATGAAGGAAAACCATGGGCAGCAAAATAATCAGAAATGAAGGGAGAAAAAATTAATTGTATAATGAACTCTGAGAGAAAGGGTTCATGATGTAGTTGATCTGTTAATGAAGCTGATCATTGTTTGAAAGCTACCAACAATTTCATTATAAATTACAAGTAATTTGGTGGTAGGCTTTGTTTCATTTTGTTTTTCAGTGTAAGGGGAAGCAAAGTAATATATTTTACATTTACATTTTACTTACCACCAACTTTTGATTTGATAATGATTGATAAGTATTGAAGTTGGCCAGGTGAATACACAGTAGGGAATTTTGTCTAGTGTAAACCTTATAATGTGGTAGTTTATTTCCTGGCTAGTAGTGTTTGTAGTAAAGTTAAGAAAAAGAAAATTAAAAAGCTTCCAATCATAGCACTTGTAACTGATATTGTAAGTACTGACTGCAACAAAATAACTTAGATGTGTTGAAATGTAAACAGTGTGTTTCATAAAAAGGAGATAAAAAGAAAATCAAATTCCAAATAACCAAAAATCATTTTCCTGAAGTTTTGCTTTAGTTATGGATTGCTTGCAATTAACATTAATTAATGTTATACATGTGTAAAGCAAACTTCTTTCCTGGTAATAGTGCTACATTTGTATACTTGTTTTGGTGAGATGCAGTAGTAATTATCATATGAATGAGACAGTTAAAAAAGTCTATGCTATTTAAGTAGTGTGATAATTAAAGTGTGAAGTTTTCTTGGATGTTATAAATGAAATCCATTAAATGAGATAAATGTATTTTAGAATGCATTGTGGAACATATCAGTCAATGAATGTAAAAGCAAGTACTGTCCTTTGTAGCTCAATAAATATATACATTAAAAATAAAATGCTGGGCTTGGGAATCTAATAAGAACTAATATCTTGAGTTAAAAATATTTTTTATTGTTTTTAAAGTAGTGAAGTTCTGGTGATCCAGGCAAATGGTAAAGTGATTTCTGCATCAAATATGGGAAAGGAGGAAAATAGGTAGTATGAAATAGAAGCAAAGTGATTTCTAAAAGACAAATCCAGTGTGTGTGTGTGTGTGTGTGTGTGTGTGTGTGTGTCTGTATCTTTGTGTGTGTGTCTGTGTCTTTGTGTCTGTGTGTCTGTGTGTGTCTGTGTGCGTGTGTGTGCGCATTCACTGGCTGATATTGGGACTTGAACTTCGGCTCTTGTACTGCCCTTTGCCTTTTTCACTCAAGGATAGTGCTCTACCACTTGAGCCCCACTTCTATTTCCAGCATTTTGCTGGTTAATTGCAGATAAAAGTCTATCAGATTTGTCTGCCTGGGCAGGATTCAAACCATGATCCTCAAATCTCAGCCTTCTGAGTATTAAGAATTACAAGTTTGAGCCACTCAACAGTATTTTTTGTATGCCAGTACTGGAGATTGAACTCAGGGCCAGGTCACTCTCAACTTTTGGGCTCAAGGCTGGCTCTATACCACTTGAATCACAGCTCTACTTCTGGATTTTGGTGGTTAATTGGGGATAAGATCCTCACAGACTTTTCTGCTTGTGGTTGGTTTTGAACTATGATCTTCAGATCTCAGCCTCCTGAGTAGCTATAATTATAGGTATGAACCACCAGCTCTAACTATTAACTAACAGTTTAAAGTTTTTATTCATACTCCCCATTTGGTTGCACAAGACTTCTAACTCCAACTCCACTGGACATCTCCCAAGTATACAATTAGTATAAGAGGAAGAAGACAATGTGTAATATTTCAGCTATAATTCCTTCATAGTGTCTGCCACATTCTTTCTTCTGCTTTGCTTCCTATTGGAACAGCAGAACCACTACAAGGAGCCTCACAGTTGACCCTTGAATATGGTACCAATTATAGGAAGTTGGCTTTTTGTCAATGATTCTATCTCCTAGTGCTTACAAACCACTACTCCTTGTGGAGTCTGAGCAGTGTGGCTTCATATAGAACTTGAGATAAAGCACTTTCTACAATGGTGTACCAGGATTTGGTATCTGGATTCTAGAGAAATATTGCTAGTTCCCCGTTTCTTAACAAAATGACTCCACTCATGAAAACCACTGAGGCTCAGACTTTTCAAAGGAGTAGAGTTGAAGACAAACCTACTTTTCTCCCTTGAATCTGGTTCCCCATCTTTTCCCTTTTTACCTCAGTTACAAAACAAATTCCTCTCTTCCCTTCAAGTATACAGCTGGGCATCTGTGACTTAAACTTGTGGATCCTAGCTACTCAGGAGGCTGAGATCTGAACAGTTCAGTTCAAAGCCAGCTTGGGCAGGAAAGTCCATGCAATTCTGAAACACTTGACTCCAGTTAACCACCAAAAAATCTGGAAGTAGAGCTGTGGCTCATGTGATAGCAACGTTGAGAAACAAAACAAAACAAAACCTCAGGGACAGTACATAAGCCTTGAATTCAAGTTCCAGGGCAGGCGTGCATGCACACACGAGTGTGTGTGTGTGTGTGTGCGTGTGTGCGCGCGCACGTGCGCATGCTAGCAGAATACCAGAAACTGGATAATTTACAAAGAACAGAAATGTATTTCTTATGACTCTGAAGAGTGGGAAGTCCAAGATTGAAGCACTGGTTCTCAGTGAGGCCCTTGACCTATTGCTGAGTCATTCAATGGCCAAAGACAAAAGAGCAAGAAAGTATAAGTCAAGAGAAGGAAAAGGAGACTGAGCTCATCATTATGTCAGGAATCAACTTCAATGATCACTAACCCACTCCTACCATAGTGGCATTAATCCTTTCTTGCTGGAAAAAAAATTGGTGAACAGACAACCTCAACACTGTTGGATCTGGGATTAAGTTCGTATTACACGGACTTTGTGGGGGAGAGTTCTATCACTACATAACAAGTATACCTTTAGCTTCTATTGCCAATAAGCTTTTCCTATAAGCTTTCAGCAGCTGCCTCCACAAAAATCTAAATTTATATGACATTCAAGAAACTTTAAGCTTCTAAGTTTTCAGCCTTTCTAGCCTTTCCACCATGTCTGGTTTTAAAATTACAACCAAGCCCGGTGCTGGTGGCTCATGCCTGTAATCCTAGCTACTCAGGAGGCTGAGGTCTGAGGATCACGGTTCAAAACCAGCCCAGGCACCAGAAAACCGGAAGTAGCACTGTGGCTCAAGTGGTAGAGACCTCACCTTGAGTTGAAGAGCTTAGGGACAGCACCCAGGCCCAGAGTTCAAGCCCCATAACCAACCAACATATACATCCAAATTTAAAGTACTTATTTAGATAACACTGTACTTTTTATACCTAAGTCTGTATTAGCTATCTACTGCATATGACAAATTACCCTAACACTTTGAAGATTACCACCACAAGTATATCTTGATTGGTAGTTTCCATAGGCCAGAAATCCTTGCACATATCAGCTGAGTACCTCTGACTCAGACTTCTCACAAAATTACAGTAAAATGTTGGTCAGAAGTAAAAGCTCAACTGGAGAAAATCTAAATTCACATGGCTACTGAAAATATTCTTACTTGGCATGTGAGCCTATCTATAGGGTAGTTCACCATGAAAAAGCTGTCTTCCCTGGCTGAGGCTTACAATCTAGGGCACACCTTCCTGCCCTCAATACTTCTGCAGAAACTACATCTCAAACAAGAGATATAACAAAATGAATATTCATATGCCATTTAACTGTCTCTTTTTCATTATCATATATTCGCTATACAAGGGAGGAGGTTTCATTGTAAATTTTCATGCATGCATACAATGTATTCTAATCTCCTCACCTGTATTGTTCTCCCTTAGCTTCTCGTCTTATACAATTTCAACAGGATTTTTGCTCTATTTTCATACAGTTGACAATCAGTTTTAGCCACATTCCTCTACTTTCACCCTTGTTAGCCCACCCCCCTCTTTCTAGTACCCGCCCTCCACAACAGAGCCTGTTCCCCAAACCTCTTCCCCAAACCCTATATTGATGAACAGTGTTCAATGAGGCTTCTTTATGCTGTTTTAATATGTCATTGCAGTGTATCTCAAAATTATTCACTTTTTTGTTTTCCTTTTCTCCTCCTAAGTAGTACTCATATTTTGTTTATCCATAGATATAATAATGCCCATGAACATATGTATATCTTTTAGGTCTAGCTTCTACATATAAGTGAAAGATAAGATATTCTGTTTTTGATTTTGTCTCATCTCACTCAGTAGGATGTTCTCTGGTTCCATATACTTTCTCATAGATAACATTATTTCCTTTGGTATGGCTGTGTAATATTTGATAATCTATATATACCATATCTTTTTTATCTATTCATTTGTTGTTGGACACCTCAGTTGATTTTATCATTTAGATATTATGAATAGTGCTGTAATAAACATAAGTAGGTAGGTATCTTTTTTTCTATTGATTTACCCTTCTTCAGATATATAAAATATATGCCTAAAAGTGCTATGGCAGGGCTATATGGTAAGTCTATTGCTAGTCTTCTGAGGAACTTTACACTAATTTCCATAGCATTTACACTAATTTACATTCTTTTTTTTTTGTCAGTCGTGGGGCTAGTTTACATTCTTATCAGCATTTAATTCAGATTCCTTACATTAGGTTGCATATGGACTTATTTAAAATAAGTTATAGGGGCTGGGAAGGTAGCTTAGCAGTAGAGTGCTTGCCTTGCATGCATGAGGTCCTGGGTTTGATTCTTCAGCACCACATAGACAGAAAAGACTAGAAGTGGAATTGTGGCTCAAGTGAGCTGAAGAGCTGAGGGACAGCACCCAGGCCTAGAGTTCAAGCCCCACGACCAATGAAAAAAATAAAACAGTTTAAAATAAGTTATAGTAAACATGCTTAGGAAGATGCTGGCACCCTGGATCATACCTGTGCCACTAGCTACTTGGGAGGATGAGATCTGAGGACTGCCAATCAAAGCCAGCCTGGGCAGGGAAATCTATGTGACTCTTATCTCCAATTAACCACCAAAACACCAGAAGTGGCGCTCAAGTGGTGGAGTGCCAGCCAGTCTTGAGCACAGAAGCTCAGGAATAGCACATAGTCCCTGCATTCAAGCCCTGGGAAGGCATAAATAAATACATAAATAAACAATTTAACAATAAACTGCTTAACTGCTTTCCCAATTGCTTCCTTGTTGCAATTTCTGAACCTGGTCCTAATTATATTAAAAATAATATTATTTCCCTGTCTCCTCACCTATCTCTTCTCTCACAGGAACAACACCCATACTGATATCCTGAGCAAGAGTGACTGGCAACTACTTATATACATCTTATCATTGCAGGAATGGAACACAAGTGTGAGGCAGCTGGAGCAGTAACAGTAAAACCAGCAACAGAGCCGCTGCCATGACAGGGGTTAGGAGTGGTTATGGGGGTCATCAGCAGGAGC